CCTTAAGGTAGTGTGATTGTGCCATTATGGTGTTGTCGCGTTATCATGTGCATACAGTCCATCTGACCATAGCCGTGCCAAGATATAGCATGCGCTAACGCAAATAGGTAATTTTTCTAAGGTAGCATGCTAGTATAATACCACCTAAGAAAATAAGCAAGATTAAATTCTTAACTAATCCTTAACTAATCCTTAACTAATCCTACTTTATATATATATAACTTTTTAAATATAAAAGATATAAAAAAGTTTTATATTATAAAGTTATAGAGCTTATTTATATATATAACTTTATAATATAAAACTTTTTTATATCTTTTATATTTAAAAAGTTATATATATATAAAGTAGGATTAGTTAAGGATTAGTTAAGGATCAATTTAGAATCGATTCACTTAGTGGGTCTTAGCATGCCATGTCTCGGCATGCCCTTGGTTAGATGGCCTGCATCCTGCGTTATCATTTATCGCGACTGATGACGTCACGCGTGACACCTGTCGGTATGTAGACCTCCACTTAGCCGCCGCTTCATCACGAACAACCACCCCAATTATCATCAAGCATTCCCCATTGTCATGAGATCATCTTTGCATTGCTTCCCGTAAGACCTTAGAAGCACGCAGTAACACCGGTAACGCTCGATACATATCACACCCTCAAAATGTCAACATCAGACGAGAAGACGCTGCTAGACCGCGTCTTCGCCGCCAAGACCACCGAAGAATCGCGCGAATTATACGACGAGTGGGCGAAGACATACGACTCCGACATGACTTTGCACGACTTCACCGCGCCACGCCTCGTCGCGCAAGCAGTAGCCCGAGGCCTGAAGCTGAACCACATCTCACCCGACAAGCCTCTCGCTAGCCTTAAGATCGCGGATGCAGGATGCGGTACAGGCCTCGTCGGTATCGAACTCTCCAAGCTTGGCGCTACAGATATTCTGGGCCTCGACATTAGCGAAGGCATGCTAGCTGTTGCTAAGAACACCGCCGTGTACGATGACCTTACGACCGCGGATTTGACGAAGAGCTTGGAGTTTGAAGACGGAAAGTTCGATGCGCTGACGTGCTGTGGTACGTTCACGCATGGCCATCTCGGCCCGGAGCCGCTGGAGGAGTTCGTAAGGGTTGTCAAGGATGGTGGGGTTGTTGTTGCAACCGTGCTAGATAGCTTCTGGGTAGAGAAGGGGTTTGAGAAGCAAGTGCAAAGACTGGAGAAGGAGGAGAAGGTTGAGGTTGTGGAGACGGACTTGCATCAGTATCGGAAAGATGCTGGAGGTGGGCGCGTGATTATCTTACGGAAGCTGTGAACTTGAAGCGTATGGCGAAGGTGCATATATCATAGCAAGTGCAATGGTACAAGAAATACGAGCTTTCTAAAACTATACACATGCACAAAGTGCGGTATCGTAGTAGAAGTCCCTGGTGGACTACACTCACAACTTACGCAACATCGACGACCTAGACGAAAAGATATCCGAACAAATCAGAGAAGTCTTGAGTATTACATGATGGACTACAAGATTCCCGCATACCTCGCCTAATCCTACATAATTTCCCACTTTCCCTCCATGACGTGTTTGTAGCGGGGAGTCGGAGCATCAATTGACATAATCTCAACTCCTTCCCCAACCCGACTGCTGACATATTTTTGAACATTCATAAGTGCATTCTCAGTATCCTTCGACTTGAGATCTCTGAAAAATTTCTCAACTCTCAAACGCGAAACCTCGTTGTCCTCTGGAACATGACGTCTATTCCATTCATGGGCAAACAAGAGCGGATCTCCCACGACCTTAGGAGCCCAAGAATGCACTTCGACCTTTCGCAGGTTAGGAAGATCTGTTGGGAGGTAAAACTCTCGGTAATACATCGTCCAGTTTTCGATTTCGTAGATGCGAAGGACTGAAATGGCGTCTCGCACGTCCCTGGGCATTTTTTCCACGGCGTCAAGTAGATGTTCCGGACGTCCACAGAGAGGACTCAGCTTGAATACCAGCAATCTGGTCTCCGCATAGTATTGGCGGCATACTAGTAGGTATCTAAGAAGCGAGGATAGGGATTGTGAAGCTGACTTTGTCCCGCGCACGGGATTGGGGTTGTAATCAGGCCTCGAGTGGTTGCTCGTGTTGTAATCCCAGGCGAGCATTCCATAGAAATTGATACAGTCCACGCGGAAGACATGTTCGTAGATCCTATTGCGAAGTTCTGCGGGCAGGCGTAGTAGGGGCGATTCAATCTGGTTATGCAATGTGCTACGCTGATGTTAGTGCTGTTTCGAGCCAGATTCGAGAGGTATCATGACTACTTACACAGCGTCCATTTTGTCAAAGAGATCTCTTGGGCGCGAAACTTTCGGTGTGCAACGATGGACCGTACTTCGATGATGTTGTCGTAGAGAAGAGGGGTTGCTGAGATGGGTCCACATGTCGCGACGGAACGGCGTAGCCCACTTGTCCTATCTGAGCCTAGTACCATTGCTGCCTTCCGCCTGCAGATATTCTTTCTACATAGGCACCTCATCCAATCGTATAATAATCTTACAGGATACATGATACATCAGTCCATCACAAACATTCCACGCAAATAGCCGGCATACCCGAATGGCGTCGGCCGCGCAAATTGTGAAACAGCAAGTCCTAGCCCCAGTCCCGCGCCCGCCACGCTCGTTTCTTGGATTGACGCGCCCGTATCGCGCCAACGTTCAGTTCCAACAAAGCATTCGCCTTCCCAGTCGTATTCGTATCGCTCAGACACATCATGCTCTGGGAAACGTTCTGGCACATGCCCGCATACACCCTCAAAGAAGTCGACCAGGTCTTCGCTCCTCCCTTCGTTGAAGTACAGTCGTCCTCCAATGATTGGCCAGGCCGCTGAGAACCGAGCTTTGGATATTGAACCACTCGCCAGCCATTCTGAAGGGCGGATGTATCTGGGATCGAGACCGAGGCGTGGTCCAAGATCAGCCATACAAAGCCACCTGTCTTCGCGACCTTTTGCGCCCTTCCATGTGGGTATCAGAGCACCGTAATCACCAGCTGGGCTCATCAAATCGATCACCAAGCCTGAAGCATGGATCTGGACTATCTGAATAGCATCGTGACCTCGAATATGAAGATCATACGCTTCACGCACCGCTGCAGCTGCTAACAGTCAGTGTGAAAGCCATACTGAAAGACAATCTATCCCACCGAAGTCACTGAAGACCGATATGAACGGACTAGCTTGTGTGTCGCGAAGACGAAGGTGTTCTTCTATGCATTCCAGGCTGGAACGATTATCCGAAAAGACACATTCAGCCTGAAACAGCCTCGCGCCAACTGATGATCTCGGTTGGTAGATCGTTGCACTGTGCTCACTGAAGACGCGATAGAAGAAAGGACCCTCAAAGTCGTCGATGTGCTCGACTTGAAGCAAGTCGCTGCTGATTGGTCGGTCAAAATCTAGCCGCATCATCGATCGCCATTCACGTACCTCAACATTGTTCCATCCCAATCCATCTCAGAACTTAACACAATCTTCCGTCATCTCCATTTTCCGGCAGCACAGTTCCTTGCGAAAGTACTGAAGTTGTCGCATGGCATCCCGTGGTGTAGGGAAGTCTTCGGCTCGGCTGGTCCGTGATGGCGCAAAGCTCGCACCACCAATGCAGCATTTTTCCCGCCCATCGACCTCATGTCAGCATGCATCAACTTGGTCTTCGAACAAACCTCGTAGTTTATGACTGCATATAGATTGACTGTATGCGATCGTTCAAAATCGACGTCGGCCGGAATGGCACCCTTACTATTGATCGTTCTTTCCCGGTTAGGTAGCCATAGCGGACTCTTCTGGCCTCTTGATGTGCCTACTCCCTTCCAGATGCACAAACAAGGCCCGTTCACAGCACTTCCAACTCGCCCAGAAGTGAATGGAACTTTCTTAATCGGCCGTTAAGTCACCATTGATCTCGGTGAATGCTCGAACTTCGCCCACTGCGCAGCTACCGGCTTAAAAACGCGTTCCCTTTTTGTTTATACATCGGCCAACCAACATGTTCCACTTCTCTAATACCGAACTCTACAACTTACAGCAAGAGGTATTTATTTACACCCGATGGAAACCGCCCGCGAATCGAATAGTCAACCACCAGAAGAAGCAGTAGCGACTTCGCAACATGTCTCCGAAGCTGTTCACTCTTCGCCTCAGGTCTGTGATACTCAGACAGACGCACAGCTGCATGCAGAAGCTGCAGACAGTCAAACTCGCCTGGAGAGTAGGGAAAATGCAAGTGCAACTAGTGTTCCAGCAAATCTACCTACGATTACACTGAGTATGCCTTCCCCGCCGCCACTGTATGATCAGTTGTTTCCACCGCAGAGGCCTAAGCAGCAAACGTCAACCAGACAAACCTCTCCCGAGGCCGCATCACCAATAAGTGACCAACGTCCCCAGGAGTCGCACCAAGCTCATCATCCACCGCCAGCCACTCCCCCTCAATGCCCAACACCCACCGCCACGCCCCTCAATCATCCGCCAGTTCAAATCGTCCCCCGGCCCCAGGAAGACGTTGATGAGATCTTCGAAGCCATGGAAACCAACAATTTCGATAGTCCCATTTTCGGGGAGGCAGGTGCGGTATACCACGACAAACTAACACGGCGACTCATGCCTAGAACACCAAAGTTTCAGCATTACAACATCATTCCTGAGGTGCCGCAGCCAAGGCCTGTAGCTGCTCCGAACGATAGACTGCAAACACCTGATACGCCGACACCTAAACCCCAGCCTAAGCGTAAGCCCAGGAAGAGGAAGCGCGATCAGACGCCGCAGGAGCCGGTTGACCAGGAGGAGATAGTGGTAAAGCAAGAGCCGGTGGAGAAGAAGCAGAAGGGTGTGAAGGTAGAAGATACCGCGTAGAGGCCACAGCGTTGTAGATGACTGGCCTTGTTTGTCCTGGACGGAAGGAGCCTGATACTTAGCCCATCAGGATATGGGAAATCTTATAAGTAAAAGGAAGACTCTCTGGCGCAATGGTAGCGCATCACGCTTCTATTCAAGCGTCGCCTACATCTTTGAGAGTGGACGCACTCCGGGATGGAAGGCCCGCTTGAACCGTGAAGGCTATGAGTTCGACTCTCATGGGAGTTAATGGCTATTATTTTTTCGCGTCAAGTAACAATGTCATGCTATACATGTCTTTAGCATCTTTTTTTGCTTCCAACAGGGTTATCTATTGCTTCGTGATCATCTTCTCACCCAAAATCTCACCTGCACAATCTACCACTCCCCCAAATCCTCCCCCGTAAGATTCGGCCTAACATCCCCTCCCTCCAACCACACCCTACACTTCCCATACAACACATCCCTCTCCGGCCCATGCGCATTCAAATCCATCTTCGGCGGCCTCCCCGCCTTACTCTCCGCCCAAGCCAGATACCTATACCCACTCGGATACTGCTTAACTTCTTCCTCAAGTACATCGAACGCCTTACCCGGCACCACAGGCACCATCTTATCCTTATCGAACAGCAACGTCATGAAATCGACACCCCATTTCCCAGCCTCGTTCTTAGATAAGAAAAAGAAGAAGCGGGTATCGGCTTCATTGTCCATTTCGATGTCGTCAAGCATGATGCGACATGTAATTGTAACTTTCATTTTACTTATCGCCCGGTCGCCTTGCACATCAACTGTCTGGCCGCAGATGCGATGCAGAATGTACGGGAACGGGCCATGAGGCGTTTGCTTCTCAAACCCTTCTTTGGAGGATGCGATAGAGTCGTCGAGCCGGCCTTGCGTCCATGATGTGGTTATGTATGCGCCGGGGTGGAACATGGAAGAGTAGTTTTGCCACTCCGCGGCGTCGCGGTACATACCCCAGCCTTCGCAGATTTCGCGGATCTTGAGGCGGTCGAGCACGGAGGCGTCGGTGCTGGGGGTGTTGTTGCGGGTGGCGTTTTGGGGGTAGGTGGACAAGGGGGGTTGGACGGTGGTGTATTCGAGGCTTGGGTGTGGCATTTTGGTGGTGGATCGAATGTTCGGGATGTGTTTACGGGAGTTTTGGTATGTTTTAGGTGTGGTATCTGTAGAGTTGGTGTATATCTAGGTATGTTGCTGTGATGTATGCAGTTGTAACGGTTACGTCATTGAACCACTGCCGAACATGAGGATAGTAATAGTCATAAAGGCACACGTTCTTTTAAAAATCGTGCCAGGCCCCCACTAGCCACCCAGGTCTTGTATTCAGGAAGGTGTTGGACTGCGTGGTACATCGTCTCTGAGTTCTTCAAGGTTGGTATCAAGATGTATCCAGGGCTGCCGAGTCTTGCGACTCACAACGTCGCTCGTAGCGATCATTCTCGCTTCAGTCTCTTCGCGGGGCTACTCTCCGCCAAGGCGGAACCCCTCTTCGTCGGGCTGCTCCATTGAAGGTTGCGCGCTCTCCTGCATCTGAAAGGTGAGAAATTGGGACGGTTTTCTGTCATGAACGCGCTCCAACTCCAGTCCTCGTGGTCATCCTGTGAAATACCCGGTATTAGTCTCGGTATCAAGGTGTATCTAGGCCTACCGAGTCTTGCGACTCACGACGTCGCTAGTTTGCTTGCTTGCGTCTTCCTGCTCGCTCGTCTTTTCGCAACTGTCATCATCGTCCTCCGAGGTTGCAGCCGAACTGCTGTCTTGACCATGCTCGTTCATTGCCTGAAGTGCGGTTCGCTGGCTGTAGGTCGGCGGCTCTGGCCTCATGTCCCGCGTCATCTCCTGCAATACGCTGGGCATTGTTCGGAGGATCCTATCGTACGCTATCTGGACCTGGGGGCTGGTGAGGAATAGGTGATCTACAAAATCTGTTTCCAGATTTTGTTCATTGGCGAATCACGCCAAACCACCACTAGCCACCCGGGCCTTGTACTCGGGGAGGTGCTTGACGCGGTCGTACATTGTTTCGGGGATTGCGCGTCTCAGAACGCTCGCCGTCGCACTAGGGCTTTTTACAGTGTCTTTGCTGTTGTCCGACATGTCTTGATAGTGTCCCTCAAGATCTTGTTGGGTGTGTTTAGAGGAGGGGATGTGTTGTGCGCGCGCAGATGGTGTGCAGGTGATACGTCGAGAGCTTTTGTGCGGTGCAGGTAGGCCTAAAAAATGATGGTATGCAGAGGGACTCCTTGATGAAGCAGGATTTAAAGTCCCAGCTTCCTGACGTACCATGGTTCTGGGGACTTGCGGTTTGGCGTTGATATGCCGGAAGACAATCTGTGATGCTGGGTTTGCCGAAATTGAGATGGCTTTTGGAGCGGATGCGCGGTTCCTGTGGTCATAGTTCAACAGGAAAAGTGAGGTGTTGACTACACGAAATCGCCCTCCCAAGAAGGAAACTACGTTCCTTGTTCTTGCTCGGAAGTGGCGTGTCAGCCAACAAAACGATCGAACAGTAACCCATCAGGTAGGTGCACCTGGCTTGGGCGGAGTAATGCGGGCAGAATGCCAATGACGGATTAGAATGCGCATGAGCCGGTGGAGGTGAGTGAAAATCAATGTAGACGATAGAAAATGGCTTCATATACAGCGCTATATACTAAATATCTTACACGTTCTGCTCGTTGATGAACAGACCGGCCATACCCATACCAGTACCAATGCACATACTGGTGAGAAGAACCTTCTTCTTCTGCCTCCTGCACTCGCTCAGACCAGTTACGATTTGACGCGCACCGGTGCAGCCGAGCGGGTGACCCAGCGCGATAGCACCTCCCCTTGGGTTGAGCTTCTGGTGGTCGATCTTGAGTGTCTCGAGACAGTATACGGCCATGGAAGCGAAAGCCTCGTTAAGCTCGATAAGGTCAACGTCCTCGAGGGTGATGTTGAACTTGGAGAGAAGCTTAGGGATGGCGACGGATGGGCCGATACCCATGATCCTGGGCGGCAGACCGGCGACGGTGGCACCAACGTACTTGGCGAGGATGGGCTGGCCGAGCTTCTCGGCCATGGAGCGCCTCATCATGAGGATGGCAGCGGCACCGTCTGTGAGTTGCGAAGAGTTTCCGGCGTGTGACCGGTCGCCGTGGGGAAGGAAGGCAGGCTTGACCTTCTGCAGGCTCTCGAATGTGGTGCCGGCGCGGATACCCTCGTCCTTGGTCAGGGTGACGGTCTTGACCTCGCCTGTCTTGGGGTCCTTGATCTGGGTGGTGATGGGCGCAATCTCGTCGTCGAACCAGCCCGCCTTCTGCGCAACCTCGGCTCTCCGGTATGACTCAGCAGCGTACTTGTCCTGGCGCTCGCGCGAGATGTTGAAGTCCTTGCCGACGTTTTCTGAGGTCTGGCCCATGGGCTGCATGCAGTCCTTCGCCTCCTGGTTCTCGAGCACCTCGTCGACGAAGGGCCTCTCGAGCCTGTCGCCGCCTGCTGTCATGCTCTCAGCGCCCATGGCGAGACCACATTCGATGCTGCCGACGGCGATCTGGTTGGCAATGTCTTGTACGGCCTTGAGTCCCGAAGAGCAGAAGCGGTTCAGCGACGAGCCGGATGTGGTGTTGGGGAAGCCAGCGGCGAGCATGGCAGCGCGGACATAGTAGGCAGCCTTGGCATCTGAGACGTTGCCGACGCAGATGTCCTCTACTACTGCGGGATCGAGGTTCGACTTTGCGACGACTTGCTTGAGCGTCTTGACGAGGAGGCCGTCAAGGGTCGTGTCCTTGAAACCGCCCTTGTGTGCCTTGGTGAGGGGAGTGCGGAAGGCGAGGGTGATGACAACATCGTCGGGGTTCTTGGTGGTACTGTTGATGGCTGTCAGCGCTGCATTCTTCCCTTATCATCCGCCGCGCGTTCTTCACGTGTCATATCTGTCGGGGTGGAGCTTACAGGGCCGAGATACCGCTGGCCGAGGGCGTCATGTGCGAAACGATGGACTTGAGGCGGTCGGTCATTGTGAAGGTAGAGAGGTGTGGTTAATTGAGGTTTGTGAGTGAGGAAGGCGATGTTTAGGGGAGATGGTGAGTGAATGCGGAGGCGGAGACAGCTCTTAACTTAAGTTGTGGGGCAACATAGTCGCGACGGCTGGGCCGAGGATCTCGGAGCCACATATCGCCAGGTCACGTTCTCTCGGCAATTGCCCTCTTGCCAGGCCGGGCCTTTTTGCTCACTCAACAACCATCGTTGAGCATACTAATCAGCCCTTGTTTTCGTAAGCCAGAATTCAAAGATGAGATGTATCAAGGTCTGCCCATCCATAGAAGTGCTGCATTGCTGGTCACGCCTTCCCCACAATTCGCCGCCACGCTGCTTACGCCTCTAGCTTTGTGCTACGCAACTACGACCTCATCTCAACCCACCGCCGCGGAAACACACTCTCAACCTCTATCTGGTCTCATTTTAGTCATGATGAACTTTCGCACGTATGCGCACGCGAATTCGCTTCTTCTACTTCCGCATCATTGCGTCGTTGCCCAATTGCCCCGAATGTCCCGTCGCGATTGCTTAGCAAAACCACGACGCGCAGAAAACACGCCGGTCTTCCGAATCGTGTTGCCTATAACATACACAATGTTCTTATCGCTATCGCTTGATAGGCAATATGCCATTGCTTGGGGTGGAGCGCATAAATAACACAGCCTCCACAGCCAGCATCGAGACCCAATCTTCTGGTAACTGTGCCACCTAGTTGTTATGCTGTCAAAGGAAATTTGGCCCCCAACGCCATCACTGCCCACACACCGCATCCCAAAAGGCAAGTTTAAACGCGAATCGCGCTGTCAAAAGGTAAGGGTGGTCAGGCAGGTCAGCCTTGCATACGTCGCATAGCAATTTCACAGTCATACTCTTAATCCATCGTTTGTACTACAGAGACGTCAACCACGATGCTGTCCGAGGTTGCCTGGATGCTTTGTCCTCAATACGCCGCAAACAACCCAGCCAAGCGACTCAACGCCATGTCCCTATTGGAATCTCGCTGAACATCCCAGCAAAACCCAACGAGCTCAAAGTGGCTTAAGGCACACCGCGGAATGCATGCTGTCTGCACGCGCCTGCTAGTAGACCCACACCCTCATCGGAGAGAGGGAAGCCACTTGCGAGGCTTGCATGGTCTCACACAACGGGAGCATGGGGGCGGCGGAGCAGGGCTGCGCTTTGACCTCATCCTTCCCATCCCTTGT